AGTGCCATAGGACCTTTCGTTTTCAAGCAATTGTAATTTTGAACTCGTCTAGATTGAGCGTTCGCAATGCAGACCTCAAACAAATATTTCACAAACGTGATAGTATACTGTGCTTTGTTGTCCTCTTGAGACTAAAATATTGAAACAGTTTGATCTCTGAAAACAGAGAGAGAGACAGAGAGAGAGAGAGGAGGGAGAGAGGGAGCTCTAGGAGTTGCTTTTTGGAAACCATATAAACGTCCCTACAATTGAACTCAGTAATGTTTTCACATGGTTTTAATGAGGTAACGAAGCGTAGAATTAGGCTTACGTCACTCACCCGTATAAACATAGACACTACATGAAGTGCTTTAGTGAGTTACTTCTAAACAAAACCTAACCTACTGAGGCGTTAAGGGCAAGAGAATAGAGCAAGTTCCTTGCAGCTCCCGAAAGTGGTTTCATACATTCTATGCGTCTTCGTATGTGAAAAGGTTATCTATGCATATACATATATCTTCGCTACTAAACCCATGCGTGCATTAGCCGACACGACAAATAAACGCTGGCCCGAAGATGATAGGGCGCAACAGCGTTGAAGAGTTCTACGCGATTTGGTATGTGAGGCACGAAACCGAATAAGTCGGCAGGACTCGTCGACATCATCTCGGCCACAGTTAGGTGCTGCTTCATCCACATGCCGAAGCCGAACGACAAAAAGACTGTAACCGAGGCAGGTCAATAGCGGCTGGCCCAAGTTAAACGGCTTTCCGTATCTGCGATTGCTGTGGTACACGACAGACTTAAACACATGTACACGGTAAGAGTGAGAAAAGAGAATTCTCTCTGCTGGGTTGAGACGTTACGGGATCCTTCTCGGCTGAATCAGTCTGAGGATTGTGGGGACAGGAGAAACAGGCCAACAGAACGTGTACGTATCAAATAGGTACATCACTCTATCCTCTACTGCTGCTGGCTAAAAGCGGTTCACCTCCGTCCCATCATGATTCCACCGCCTGTTGCTATGCCTCGCACGTAGCTTCTTCTGTTTTAGTAACAGCACAAGGCAGACAAAGCGAAGCGCAGTCGTGTCTAAGTCTCGTTATTCGAAGAATGGCAGACCCACGATGACAGCAGCAGCAAACAGCATGAACGAACCACAATGTGTGATACCAGTAAGTCAATAATAACATTTGGCACTTGAGGTCGGACGGGCTAGACCCTAAGAGCATAGATTTTGTTGGCTTTCACATCAAACCCCGAAGAGATCAATGAAGTATCCTCTGCTGATAAGAAAATAGAGAAATAGGCTCTACAATATCAATCAATGTATTAATAACTCTGTGATCGCCTGAAATGGGTCTTGGGCTGCATAAGCTATGCACGTTGTTGAAATGCAGATGGTTTCATAAAAAGAAAAATGGTTTTCACACCCGGGTTTGTCAATTCTGGTTCCCCAACGATAGTGAACGGCTAACAACCTCTAAGTGCAGAGCATTCTTTCAACAATTCGATATTTGTCAAGCCTATGCACCTGATCAAGTAACAACAAGCTTCATTGTGTTATTACAATCGGCAAGCTTCGTTCTATTGTTTTGACCAAATTATGTGACGAAAAATAGCAAATGCTGTTTCTTTTATTGGCCTGCTAAAATGAAATTTACTAACTTTATTGGTATTTTATGCGAACTGCATATAAAATATCACGTTTATTTTTAAAGCTTTGAATGAAAGAGATAAAATGTTTACACACAAGTAAGTTGGTAATAATAAGGGATGACGTACGTTACGACTCGAGCCTTTATAAAAGCAAGGATAGTTTAGAGATATTGCCACATATTATAAACAAGCGTTCTTTTTTTCTCTCCGCTGAAGAGTCTTCAAACTGGTAGTCCCTCGCATTGTGCATTTTATGCAGCGTTATGTATTAACTAAAGTAGATAGTAGAAAATCGTATCTTAGATGACATCGTAGTTTATCTACTTTAAAGATAGATTATTAGCTATAACTATTTAAAGTAGCAACCATTATCGAGGCCGTTTCGCTACCATGTGGCGTTGTCAATATCAATTGAAGGAATAGGGATTCTTTTGTTATATAGAATGTGCTAATGTCAATTATCAGAAAGTTTCTAGGATTGTACAACAATCTTACGACAATAAAAGCTCAGGCCACCATTACCTCGAAAACTCATTGTGGCAAATAATCGAATCAGTAAACTGTAATAAGGTTATGCACAGGTACAGCCTCGGGCACGCACACAAACATAGCTACCCACACCCAACGTTTAATCCAGTAACCCCACAACCCATATACCCCAAGGCTTCAACCCCATTCTCCCGTTTTCCTATGTCTCTGTGTCTACTGCAGGAAGTCACATGGTTTGTACTTTCTCCACACAGTACCATTGTTTGAATCAGATGTGTGGTTTCGATGTGTGTCAAGTTCCCGGTCTATATATATACCTTACTCTATCTACTTCAGTGGGGATACCAACAAAGTATATAAAGGACTGGTCATTGTTTGGTGTGATAGTGCCAGTCGTTGTTGTGGCCGTACAAGTGTGTACTTCGGTCCACCGTTGACTCTCCTGGGGGGATACCACCAAGAGCGGCCGCTGAAGGAACCTTAAAAGGAGGTTTACCACGCAATTTGTGCCTACAGAGCTACGATAGGGCTGCTGGATAACGTGATAGTTGTAATAGGTCGTTAAGGTGAGTAGCATCGAAGACTCAAAGAAAACTAACGGCAGCAGCCGAACTGGGGGGTTACAATTGGCCTTCGCGTCGTCACTAACTCTGCTGTTCCAGTGCTGCTGCTGTTGCACCATTTGGTTGTGGCTGCCACCCAACCTAGTAAGAACACGGGGTTACTTCGCCACTGGTCGGGCCAGTTGCAAACGAAGGCATTGTGACGAATCATTAGAGGGACAGGGTTGCTCAGTTCTCCTGAAGTTGTTGATACTACTCTTGTTGTGTCTGCTGTTGCCCCCTCCCCCCTCCTTCTTCCGCTGGAAACATCCAGTGCCCGACATAAACCGATGCTGTGCCCAGCTACAAGCACTTCAGGGCGGCATCAAAGTATTAGTTCCTCCTTTTTCCTCGACCGAGTCGAGTAACAACAGAGGAATGAGTCATGAAAAGCGGCCTTTTAAGCTAAGCTCCTGCTTTGGGCTCATGGGTCACAGACCGGCCTCTGGCGTCCCACTAAAATCACCCAATAACGTGCATCTCCAAGAGGAAAAGGAAGAACGTATGTCTAACTCGATGTAGCGTAGCGTCGAAACTGTCGCTTGGTAACAAAGTAGCAAGTCTTTCGAACCTCTCTTTCTTGCTCGTTCCTAAAACACGAGAGAATTTGAGAGCACATCTATCGGCTGACGGTATTGACGCAAGACCTAGCAGAAGACGTGGGTTACAATTCTAACAACATCCACGACAAGCGACATAGTGTACCCAGCACATGCTGGTGCCTGGCTGGAAGCGTGGCCTGGCGTTCGGTGACGCCGATGAAAGGCTATTGAAACAAGGTCGACAACAGCGGCGACAACGGCGGCGGCCACCGCACTCGAACGCCTCAATGTTAGCTGACATTCGGCTGCTGTCAAAGAAGAAAGACAAGGAACAAACATAAAGCGAAGACGAACGGCAATAGGACAGCCGGCCTAAATATACCGAGACACGATAACGCAAACCAGTGGGGTACGAAGGATAGGCCTAGGCGTCGTGGTCGGATAATTTCAGATTGTCGGCAGCTACGAATGCTATTTCGGGTGACGTTGCTAGGGCTGCTCGTTCGGACGAGAGCGAATAAAACGGCCTACGGAACGGCGTCAGCTGGTTAAACGGTCTTTACAACTAAGTTGTACAACTCGAGGATGGACGAGATTTACGGATAGAAATAATAGATGGGGGAGAAGCGGGGCATGTGGGAGGATGGGTCATGCGGGGCTGAAAAGAAGGCAAGTTCTCTGCTCAGAGGTTATATATCGTAACAACAACAGTGGTAGCGATTCTAGCTGTTCAGCCTTGGCCATGTGATCTGAATCCGAAAAACTGATACCTCAGAACCCGTCTTATAATGCCTTTTTTCGGTAATAAACCTACTTTCCTTAAACTCTAAAACTACCTCTGTAGTAACAGACTCCATTCACCTTCGCTGATTCTAACGGACCGAAAAAAATTATCGATTTCTAATTTGCCCATGTCATCAGTAAAATGACTTCAAGCATTTTTCATGCATTGGAACGTAAGACTTATATAATAATATATAGAAATTAAAACTGTTTGCAGGATCATTTCAGAGTTACGGGAAGTAGTAGAAGTTTCTTCGACTCAACATCTGAAATATTTGTTGTTTTTTCGAGTCGTTCGTTGAACATGTGGCAACAAAAGCGGAATTTATTCTGAACTATACTAATTACATTGAAATGAAGTTCTTGTAGGTATCACCCATTCAACAATGTCTTGATTTAATGAGCTTATGTTTAATAGGTAGATCCTTTGCAGAGCAGGTATTGACACTATGAATAACTTCCTGCGATGTTATTTATAGATGCATGGAGGATTTCAGGAATTAATGTGTTACCCATTTGTATAAAACGAAGTGGAGTACTGAAACTTACGCCGGTTAGTAGTTGAAGTCAACAGTCAATTGTCTCTATTTATGCTGCAGTTATAATGAACAAATCACTCGGAACATTATTCCATTCAGGAGTAGCATTTGGGCAAAGTTTGTCATCTACATTTATCTAAAACGCACCTAAAAGCTAAATCGTATTGAAAAAAAGCTTAGCAATTAGTACACTTTGAGCTATTAAATTTCTAAAAATTATATACAGTTCTATTAAAAAAAAAAACAATTTATGTACTTCTGCTAATGTTAGTTTGACGGACTGTAGGCCGCTAGCATACTATTATTTACCTTTTCGACGACACAGGTTGTCAATATGAAAACTGACGGTCTTTTATTGTCTATAGCTCGTCAACCTGGTTAGCTTTTAGGTATTACAATTACGGGAATCGTCTTTTCGTCGTCGCAGTTTGACGTAAGGCAATACTCAAGCTTTTTGCGATGGCGTGTTTTCGCCTATTGAGTTATCCTACAAAAACTGTAGCTGGCGCTATTTGAGTACTTCGTAGAATAAGTAGATACTGATATGGAAATAAGAGTGTGGACCGATCTGAATCAACGAACAATAAACGCGTACGCTTCGTCCGAGATAAATACTATTGACTAAAACACAGATGGCCGATTTCCACTGGGCGGCAGGTCTGCATAATTACCGGTAACATCTCAGATTCTAAGCCAGAAGCGTGAATGATAAAAAAACAAGATCATCAAACATTTACACAAGTGCATTGCATCTGACTATGTGGCCAAGTGGAAATGACTGGAATCGATCGGCTATTTGCAGTCCATTTTACCTGCTACTTATGGGTAGTCGTTTCTTGGATGTCAAGAAAGCAAAAGAACAGGTAATTTTGCTGAGGAGATTATTGATTTTTTTTTAACTGACAAATATAATACATTGACGCACCCAATGCACTCTTTCTTAAGCTTCGTTCTCTGTCAGCTTGGCTCTCTTTTGTACAGCACGACAGATCCGTTGGCCGAGTTCTCTACCACACCAGATACACAGGTCCCAATACCCGTGAATCCGGAAGTGTTGCAGCGATATCTGCTTCATTCGCAGTCTCGAGTGCTAATCTCGTTCATCGAAGGCGTTCCTTTTCTTTCAGAATTTCTTTTGCTGTGGCTGCTCCTGACTCCCATACTCCAATAAAGGCACTTAGTAACTCAACAAATTCCGCTAACCCTGCTCTTGGGACCCGTAGCGAGGATCTATCTCGGTAAGTGCCGTTTCCGTACCACCTGTTTACAGCCATCTGCCTTTCTCTCTTCCTAGCATCTTCTATCGCAGGATATATCAGTAACGTGTGAGTGGAGTCATCCTCCGTTTCTAAATCGTAGTGCTGTCGATGGATCCGCTCCAATTTTATGTAGGTAGAATCGTAAGTCCCCATAATTTATTATCATTTGCAGTGAAAGTAATTGGTTTTACCGGTTTGTTTCCTATGAGCAGAATATCCTTACCTTTCTTTGGGTCGAGCTCAAGCCCTTTTCCGCCATCCGTTCAGAGATCGCACTAAACGTCTTAGCGTGAAGCTCCAGTCCTACCGTGTTTGTCTGGACTGTCATAGTCAAGTCGTTTGCATAGATAAATAACTCATCCGCCCATGGAAGGTCCTGCAAACGCAGCGCGTTCTCGTTCGTTATGTTTTACAAGATTGGGCCCAGCATCGGGCCCTAGGAAATGCCCTCGCCGTCGTAAGCGCAGAATCCCTACTCGTTATTTTTCGGTTCTGCAGATAATTAGGTATGATACCCACCGAGTACGTAGCCATCATTTTCCTTTTTATTGTTTCTAGTATCACTTTCCACGGTAGACCATTGAAACAGTTTTTTACATCAAAGGGAACAGATATGAACAGCTCGCGGATCTTGAGGGTTGACCTGGGAACAAATTCCGCTTTAGTCATCACCTTGTGTATTGCCTAAAAGACAATAAGCTGTGGTTTTCGGCAAAAGTTCACAGCCTGTCTCTCATAATTAGCTAAAAGCCTTTGGCCAGTACGCTTGACAAACAAATCAGCCTGTAGCTCCCTTTACCTTTCGGTGACAGTATTCCTTCCACCTTTTTCGATGCAGCCAAGAATTTCGCCTCCTCGAGAATTCTAGTGGCTACCGCTACTACCCCTTCTATAAACTTTTTAAAAAGAGTCTTTGCTATAAGTGAAAGTGTTCCGTCCGCAAACTTTCTCGTGCTTGATCCGGTCAGCAGTGCCAGGGATCGCAGCTGCTGGTGTCACGTATTCCTGGTTTTCTGCCTTAGGTTCCATCCCATAAGATGTCCTAAAAAAATCGTCGTGTTGTGGGAAAAGTATCTCCTTTTTTCATTCTTTGTGTCTTAGACAGGTTGTTTTTTGCTGTAATTTGTAGGCCATTTGAGCTCAACCTTTTTCTGTGCGAGCAGAGTAGATGCTTGTCGCTGCCCCACTAGCTTTCTTCAGCGTTTTTTCGGCCTACGAGCAGCACGTGTGAGGTTCGGCGATTTCAGAGTTCCACTAGTATTTAGGCTGCACCGATTCTGCTTTCTGAGGTCGATTGTAGGAACATTCGCCAACTTGCAAAAAGAAAAAGCTGTAATATTGATCCATTAGACGCCTGGGGTTATTATCTGTTGCCTTCACCGTGTCTCGTTATTCTCCTGATAGAGTAATTCATACTGTATGCCAAGATAATCTGGTTCTCTCATAATTAACCTGGGAGAAGCTTTCAATCTTTCTTCTATAGTTCCTCTATTGCAACTCTGAAGGACCATCTCGTTTTTCAGTCATCCATTGAGAGTCACCGTGCTTTAACTTCCAGTCTTCCAATAACAGCCATTATTGAATTCTGCGTATTTCTATGTCGCTCACGTAGATCCTTAAGGAAGTTGACTGTGTCGCTTAATTTCTGTGAAAGCGTCATCAGAGTTCCTCGATGGATCAGTTGCCACCACTTTGAAGGATTTTCTCCAGCTTTTTTATAGCCCTTTTTTTAGCATCTGCAGCAACTCAGGAGGCATTCTCAACGTTTTCGGAGAGCCCGAAGCTGCTCTCTCCCTTGGTGGCTTCTACCTTTCTCGTGCATAACCGTGCTTGTCTCTCCTTTTTTACGCAAAATTAGGCTCGCAATTCAAATACATTACGATGATGTTCTCCGCACTGTCTTCCGTAGCCTTCCAGGAAGCGCAAGCAGTCTGTCAAGATAGAACGTAAATTTCTGCTCTTCTTACCTTTCGGGGGCTGTTTTTGGCACATGCGACGAGCGCCGTGCACCGAAGATTTATCCACTAATCCCCTCTTGTTAAGGAGACCCATCCTGCAGTATTACATTCGTGACTTTTGTCCTTTTACTAAGGGTTTAAGCGATCCAGCTTAGGAACTACCTGGAATGCCCGTATGTGTATTTTAGTCATTCTTAGGCGGTTTTTTGGTTTCCATCTACGAAAAGCGTATAACTTTTCTTTCTTCTGGTACCATTTAGCAGGCTTGTTTGCTAAAGACCAAGTGTCTCAAGTAGCTTTGCTTTCCAATAAACGTACTTTTGCCCATTTGGCTAAAATTACCACTGTATCGATCCCGACTGGGCATGAACCCAACCCGCGGCCTGTTCACACACACAGATCTTATACATCGGCAGTGTTGCTTCTTAGTCGTGCCCTCTCGCTTAAATAGAGTCAGCAACTGCTGGCCCAGTAGGCCAAGAACTTCAGAGTCGTTTGAATTTATGCAGACGATAATGAGTGCAGTCTGGACGTCGTCGTTTCGTTTTGTACATGTTAGTACGCCTGCCGTCTTCCGCATCGTTCGTTTTGTTTTGTAGTCTCTTTCCGTTCGCGTATTCCATTCTATCCAACCAACTTAACTGAATGGGCTAAACGTCTACTAAATTGTATGAAATTTTCGGGAGAACACGCGAGAAAGGGCGCGCACTCTACAGACAGGAAACCAGTTGGGAAGTAGTTTAGAGTCTTAGTACATTGCTTAACAAGAGCAACCGTTTCCTTAAACGCTTACGCGACATTATATTTGTATATGTGATACAAGTTGTTCGGTAAAAGCTTTGCGCAATCGGAAGATTTCTAAAGTGAAGGTTTTTCGGTAGTTAAACTCGAAACTTATCTCCTTCTACATGCATAAAAAAATCAGTTTATTCAACCACGATCGACGAGTTTACGATTACATGAGAATTTAAATTTTAACAGTGCCTTTTATTTGTAAAAGTTTTGCAAAAATTTGCAGTTAGGGCAATGACCCCGCTTATAGTGCACTTATATTTTGGTCTTTTCTCAGACCGTTTGTTATTATACTATACGTTGAGTTCACGCTTTTTCTGCAGAACAGTTGTTCGTTCGAGAGGATCTTTGAATTAATCTAAATGGCGGGTAAATTCAAAGATCTTTTAAAGGACTTTTATGTTTCGAATTTTACGTACGGTAGGCATTCCATCAGAAGCTGACCCCGAACACGAAACGAAGTGTGCTACGTCCGAGTTCGAACCTAAATCACATGTCCCTAGGATCAGCATGCAAATGCGTTACCACTCAAGCTACCACGTGATCTAAACGTTCCCTCTTAGAGTAGTAGCACCATGTGATTTAGTGTCTGTAGTTTAGAAACTGTGGTTAAGGTTATAGCAGCCGCAGCAGCAGTAAGGATGCGAGAAGTTACTGAACGGGCAGTAAGAGTCAGCTTATTTCAGAGCCAGTAGCTAGCGGACGAGATTGCTTTATTTTGGACGGAGTCACGTAACGTAAGTCTCCGCTTGCCCAGTTCCTTGAAAACGCTTCTCAATTTATAGAAAAATTTGATAGTAGTCACAAAAGTTTCGAGAGTAAGGAAAAAAGAAAATGTTTCAAAAAGTTCCTCGGAGATTCAGAGGCAGCAAAACGAAGATCTCCGATGATGCTGCGGTTGCGCAATGCCACTTGGTAGTTGGCCATGTGTGCCAGTGTTATGTCGTCGCTTACCGGCAGTCGGTTCCTTATTGGGGGAGTGTTGCCCCTACGCGCACCAGCACCGTCAAGCGAAGCCTTTCTCATGAATTATTCAAACGCCAGCGAGCGTAGCGAACGGCAGATCGCCACAAACCAACACCCGATGGCCATTCGCTGGGCTACCCGGTACATATAGCGCATAGCCAACCTAGTGCATGATGTCTGACCCCACCAATCCCCAATTATCCCTAGCGTACCCCCTTTTGTAGATTCCAACTACGGCCGGTAGACTGTCGGCGCTTCAAGGGTCAGCAAACACATACGTTGCAGATGCGATGCGTTTTGCAAATAATGAACGAACTCTCTTGTATACGGACACAGGCATCGAAACATGCAGTAGTTCCTTGTGAAAGTAGAATGGAAGTTCTCTTTATTCACGCAGATTGTGTAATACATGCTTTTGGCAGGACTTGAAGCAGTCATCCCTGGTCTCTTTCAACAAAAGACATCTGCCGTCTGAGGCGTTGCGTTGACGTCCAACGAAGTACAACACAGAAGAGTCGACAATACAGCGTTTTTGTCGGATCAAATAAAGGGCCTTTAGAAAGACCTTCTTCTATATTTGTAAGTGATTCTCCCACAATTTTTGAACCCTAGATAATTGGATTTACTAAAATCATAGAAGATAGGCTAATGAGGCAGAAGATGCACACGTGTCCACAGTGTGACTTAATGCAAGCGAAAAACGTCTCTATGTAAATATACACTTTTTTTCTCCATGTAAATCAGTATTAGAAATATGCTAAGCCTAACTTCGTGACCGTTGTAACCCGCAGATATTTAGCGAGTACCTTGGTCTTTCTAAATGAGCGCAAAAGCAAAAAACGGAATCGGGTTCGAGTTTAGCAACATTATCTGTCCCATTGCTGCTATGTTACGCGCCTGTTATAGAATGAAAGTATACCAAACCAGTGTTTCCGCTCGTTCTGCGGGTAACCAACAAGCTTTCCAGAATATCTAGTTACACTGAACACTGTATAATAGCACAGCGTATCTAAGATAAATATGCCGGTACTCGCATGCGTACAGGCATCCCTTATCGGCACACCGTTGGTCCCCAACGAGTTGTAGGTATTATTTGAATAGAATCGTTTCCCTAACATTTTTCACTGATGATATTCACTCTAGTCCTCGAAAGGTACAACAGAATGATACCACAGCAGAAGCAGAAGCAGCAGCAGTAACATGAAGCGATAGAACTGTTAGTATCGACAAAACGCTAGCGGCTTTCAGAGCAGGCATGCTTTGTTCGTATGCCATGAAAATTGTTTTGTACGCACAAAGGAAAGAAGATGGGGCATGTCGTAACGCGTCTCTGAGCCGCTCTAGTGAGTACGTCTTTGGCGAGTTTAGTTTCTTCGAGTTTCGATGCCTTTGAGGGGGTTGCATCAGGAAGGAGAGGCAGTATTCCCATGTCTTGGAACAGCTGCCTTAGGATTATAGTTTAAATCGGGTCTGGCTTTGTCGCTGAGCCACTGTTGCAAACTTGTACGACGATCAAGGTGATGGTGCCTTACTCCGTCGCGTCCCCCTTAAAGCATAATTTATGGTAAAACTGAGTGACTACTCACACGGTTTTTTTCTCTTTCCTGGAGACATTCAGCTATCACGAACATAGACATCGATAAACTGCCAATTCAGTCTGAAGAGAAACGCGACTTTTCTTTTTAGCGAAAGGAAAGGAAGGATTTGAGCCTGTAACACTGGGTGGCCGAACGTTTTTAATTGATTTGTTAGAACGGTATTAGACATGTACTCAATGTGGGCTCACGCATCAGCTCGGGGAAAAAGCTAATGTATTGTATGGAAATATATAGAAGTCGCTAGAGATAGACAAAGCGCTGACCATATTTATAGTGGCGGTGATGGCCGTTTATGAAGTTGTTAATCTTGCCGACCATATGACGAGGTTAGCAATTATCAAAAAACACCTTGCGTACAGACTGTACCAATGAATTGTGGAATTTAATAGAAATTTCAGCCATATACCACTGCATTCGGCCCGCAAGGGACAAATACCTTGAAAGCGATCGATAGAGTAGCCATTTAGGTCGCGTACTGAGTATTATAGCCTTAATACTAATAATATCAGAAGTGGCCCCACCGAAAGCATCGTTACAGAAGATAAACTTTCCCGATCATTTGAACCAGACAGTCTAAGAAAAATCTAAGGTCGTCGCTATCACTGCTTCCGACCAACCTGAAGAAGCCGAATTTATTGAATACTGTGATTTAATAGAAATCGCTTATATCAAAATAAAAATTATATATATTTTTGATAAAACCCAATTCTGTTTACATTGGATGTTACGTTTCTCGGATATTATAGGTAAGCCCGATCTGGTACCACTAAACTATATCATAATTGTGCCCGTGTCTCATATAAATTTCATTAAACAATTCATAACTAGAACCTGCCTAAACATCGATACGAATTACGCGTCTTCGTAAACGTGCGTCCATAAAAATGCTCGATATTTTTTTTTTATTCATTTTTACGTTTGTCGTACTCCAGAGACGCCAATTGATGTCAAGTTATATCGATGAGTAATAGTATTCCGTAATTTTGAGTATATACAGATGAAAATAGATAACGGATCAAATCAAAGTTCGGCGAAGGTCCAAGGGGAGATCAAGTAGTCGTCATCTATAACTTGAGCATTCTTTAGTCTAATAAAGTACACCTACGAAATTCATTATAGACAGCTGATCACAGGCGGTATATTGTTCAGCACTAGTAAGCAGCATAATACCACGCATTCACCGACCTCAGATCTGATAGCTTTCAGCTCCCGAAGGACACGTCGAGGTCAGACGTCAGCCACAACGACTGCCCGAAGCAACACAATAACACTAAGAAGCAGGACAAAACAACTCGAATTCCTCCTTGCTTCAAATGACATGGGATAACAAAGAATTTAACTGGCTCGTATGCTCATAGTACTCTGCCTATAAAGGAAGAGCCCAATAATACTGGCCTGCCTTTGCAGTCCAGACACCCACGGCAAATATTAGAGCCAATTTTTGGCCCAAAACGAAGGTGAATACCAATATAGTCCAACTGTCTCAGTTAAGAAATAATAATAATAATAATAGTACAACTAGAGCAATGTAATTCATATGGTCGAGTAATATATTTGCTAGAAATCTGCACGAAGCAAGCTAAAAAATAAACGTATCGTCGATTATACCGTTAAATCAATCGGGTACATATTACCCTTTACTTCGTTGTTGTTGCTTAGTCCAATTTGTGACTAACGCACAACATCGTAATTCGAATGTATGACTAAGGGCTACTTGTTTCGTTTTTTTTTTTTTTTTTTTTTTATCAATCACTTACTATTGGGTTGTTGGGCGCTTTAGCAAAGGATTCTAAATAAAAACAAAGATGCGATTTTGCTGGATAGTCTCCTGCCAGTGACAGATGATAGTCTGACGGCGCAAGAACTAAATTATGTAGCGGATACATCAAAATTTTTATTTCAGTTTTCTCAATTTTTGCCTGATAGCTGAAAATGAATTTATATGGTCTAGCATTATCATAGTAGAAGACGACGCCTTTTCTGTTCGCTAGTTTTGACCGAGTTTTTTTGCAATGGCTTGTCGAAATCTTGCTAGTTGCTGAGAACGGATATCCGAATCAATCGTTATGCGAAACGGTAACTCATAATGCACGACTCGTTTCCAGTATCATCGAAAACACTCGATCTCAATCTAGACTTTGTCACACATTATGGAGCACGTTCTTGTGCTTATTTTTTTATTTGCACGTTATTATTGTACCTGATATGTTCTATCATGCACGATCAAGCGCCTTGAAAACGGCTCGATTTCGTCATATTTCTGTGGTGTTTCCCACGTACCGGTCGACTATGGTTTTTGCGTCGATTCGTGTGCCAGCCAAACATCGAGCTACTTACTGTAGTCAACTTAAAGTCGTTTAAGATTGTTTGATACTCGATGCTTAGCTTTTTGTCGATGTGATACCTATTTACATTTCGTGTTTTTGCTTAACTTTCGCGATAACTTGATTACGAAAAGCGGATCCCTCATCGAATTCTACAGGATGAAAAAAAACGGCAAATCGTCTCTTCCAGTGAACAGTTCGGGCATAGCCAGAGTATTTTTTATGTACCTGGGCAACATTTGGGTTTATGACGGAACAAAATTATAGCAAACAATGTAAAATTTCAATCTTTTTCAAGGCGCTTTATCTTAAGTACAAATGAAAGCATTTAATACTTTTTTGAGCACCCAATATTGTACAATATATATATATATCAAGGTGGAAAGAAAGCCAATATTCGGAAGAAAGTCTCTTGTACACATGGGCAACGAAAGCTTCTAGCCCGTAGAATATTCAAGCGTCAATGAAACACCAGATTAATCAAAAATGTAGGCAGACCTTTTTGGCATACCCTGTATTAGCTATGCTTTACATTAGATATGCCACGTTTCTTAACATTTTCAAACCACTATACCTGGTGAAAATTGCAGTTAGTCACCGCAATAGATACTGGACAAGCATATTTGCCACTTACTCTGAAACTTTATCTACGATGATAATTAGTATACCTGCAAAAACCCTTTGGACTTTTCCCTACAAGATATATAGGTTTAGAAATTATAATTATCCTATTATTAGGTGATAGAAGCCAGGCGTCTTACGATTTGCTCGTCAAGAGTTTTGATATGTCGACCAAGCATAAGAGGTTTTATGGTTAATTGTCTACTAACGACAGAGCTACATTATGGCAGCGCTTGCCAACAAAGACTGAGTCCTTGTTCCATATATGACGCTTAAATAAACTCATTTCTAATATATGTCTGTGATAATATTATATGTTTCACTTGAAATAATTAGCCAATTAGACATTCATAGACGCATTCACCGACCATATGCAGAAATTCTGAACCGGATCAGCCAGAATGTTCGCTGAAAATTCCTTAAGTTCTGTAAACTATGTCTAGGTCGATAATGAAAATATGGCAGGCTTACAATTGTCCAATTGAGCAGGTTTACAATTGGAACAGAGATAATATCGAGAACAAAAATCAACTATTTTTAATGAACAACAACAATGAAGCGAAATCAACAGCTCGCTTGGTACAGATTCAAGCGTTACCCTGTCTCGTTTGAAAGTAACTGCATTCTATTTATCTGTCACCAAAGGATCCAAATTGGCCCCTGCCCAATTCAGAATCGCCAACTGAATATCACAGAGTATATCAACCTTGGAGCTAAATTTCCCCATAACATCAACAGAAATGCACGTTTGTTCTTAGATATTTCCATTATTTTATGCTTCCGACTACGTTCGCGTTTCTCCCTATTGCTTCAGGTCCGCTGTTCTCCTTCTCTGTTTGCAAAAGAAGCTTTAGCTAACGGTGGCTACAACAGCGACAGCTACAATCAGACGTTCCGGCTCGCTCGATCGGGAAAAAGAGCAAGCTGGAGAATTGCGTACTACAGCGCATCACGGTATACAGTGCCGTTTTACTGTATAAGTGGGTCAATAGGCTGACCGTTGTTAATCAGTCACACAAAACGT